GGGAATGTGCGTGGCCTCAGCCCCAGGTGTTTGATTCAAGTTGAAATATGTTAAAAATGGGTTCCATGTGTCATAAAAAGCTCATAAACTATTCTTGTGAGTAAACTCCATTTTCTCTAATGTGATGTATTCTGTCAGAAGGTTGGCCCAGTGGTTTATGTGTAGTGATGTTTTTGATTTGGTAACAGTTAATCAGACTGAAGTGGCTGTGTTAAGGCGAGGCCATGTGGAGGGCGACCTGTTTCTGTCTCACCACTCGTGTGTTTGCTCGTAGGACTGATGGAGCACACGAAGATGCTGCTGCGAGCCTTCTTTGAGCTGTCGCAGACTCACAGAGGTCTGGTACTCTGATCACAGTCAGAACTGATAGAACTACATTTTTACTAAATGGCACCTTTTTACCTTTGACATGGAATTTTTAAAAAGAAAAAGCTGATTTAATGGATCTGAATGTATTTCAGTGTCTAATGTATCTGGCTGTGTTTGTGCTGTTTCAGCGTTTGGAGATGTCTTCTCTGTCATCGGTGTGCGAGAGCCTCAGGCTGCCGCCAGCGAGGCCTTTGTGAAGTTCGCTGATGCTCATCGCAGCATTGAGAAGTACGGCATTAAGCTACTGAAGACCATCAAACCTGTGAGTTCAGATTCAGATTGGAGTATTTATCACACTGAAAGTGCACAAAGACAAAAACGTGGGTGTTTATGTTCAGCATATTTCTACTAATCTGTCTCCATGTGACTTTGGCAACGTAGAGAAAGTGCATTCAAATGGTGTTTGTATAAGAGATGTTGATTATGTAGGATGATGTCGGTGTCATGGTTGATGTGGGAATAGTGAGAAAGTTAATCAAAATATTTTCTTGCATTTAATACCTTTTATATTGATGCACTGATCTGCCTTTGCTTTCATACAGTCTGAAATAAAAAAACGAGTTTTAAGTCAAGATCTGCAACAAACGAAGGAAACGAGATAAAGAAAATGCAAGGGACTTTAAATGTTCACTGTTCAATGTTTTTTCCTTTTACCTAATTTAACATGTACTTGTAGTGCGCTCCCATTACCTTGTTGGTTCCGTTATATTTGATCAAACCTGTTAAGGCATCTCTGATCTCGCTGTGCAGATGCTCCATGACCTGAACACGTACCTTCACAAGGCCATTCCAGACACGAAGCTCACCATACGCAAGTACCTGGATGTGAAGTTCGAATACCTGGTACGGCCGCGGCCTCCTGTTGTCCTGTTTCACCTCAGGTTCGCCATCAGTCAGCTGATTAACAGTACACGGTTCTTTGTGTGTTTCAGTCGTACTGCCTGAAGGTGAAGGAAATGGATGATGAAGAATACAGCAGTATTGTGAGTAGCCGTTAGAATTCTACTATGAGGAGTTACAGCAGTGTAACAGAGAGACTTACAGGCTGCCAACAGAAGACTGTTGCTTTTACCTCTTCTTCTCTAGCAGCACATCAGATTAGTCTCCTGAAGTGATAAGTTACTGAGCAAAAGAAAAAGTACTTGGACATCTGCTTTTTTTTCAAAGCTTAAGCACAAAGAAAAGCATTTGAAAGTATCATTTCTTTTTAAACACTGACCGTATCGGACCTGTTCAAACTGCTCAGTCGTGTTCAGATGAGTCCAGATTTCAGTTGTCATCCAAAGCACAGAACAGAAGGTTCACACATTCAAATCACTGACGTTTCCTGTTGGTTAGTTCAGGCTGTCGCACATCAGCACAGATGTTACACCTCTGCCTTCTTCAGTTCCATGTTTGAGTCCATTTGACTTCTCAGCAGCACAGAGTGTCCGTCAGCTCGTGGCCAACAGGTGAAATCAGAGCTGCCTCTGAAGCCTCACAGGGCTCAGGACAGCGTTCAGTCCAATAAGTTTAACCACCAAAAACAAAACTCTACATACATTCACAAAACTCTGTCTATATAAATCACACAGATTTTACAAGTAAACAAATATTAATGTGGATCAGTTGTTAAATTCTAAAAACACAGTCTCCAGCTGCTGTAGATGGAATAAAACTACATAATAAAATTTCTGTATTGGATGAAAAAAGGAAACATTGTCTGATAGTTTTAGGTGCATGAGGCTTTTTTTTTTGTGCTCTGGACGTAGACTGTGGTTGTGCACTCCACAGCTGCCCCCATGTGTCGTTGGTTGAGCACATTGTTCTTCAGCTCTCCCAGATTTCAGCTGTAAAAATCAAAGTTGTGTGAAGTGTGACGGTTCAGGCTCAAAGCACAAATCCCTGTGTATTTCCTGTCATGTGTCCATGGCGACTTTCACTGTGCAGACGCTGGATGTTACTGACAGTTACCATGTGATGAACCAGGTATATTTTAGAGCTGATACCATTAAACTGACAGAGCTGCAGAACCCTGACTGAGCCCAGCAGCTGTGTGTGCAGACAGTAATGTGCTTCTTCCTGCAGGCCATGGGAGAGCCTCTGTATCGCGTCAGCACCGGTAACTACGAGTATCGTCTGGTGCTGCGGTGTCGGCAGGAGGCGCGTGCACGCTTCGCCAAAATGAGGAAGGACGTTCTGGAGAAGATAGAGCTGCTGGATCAGAAACACGGTTTGTTTGTTCTCAGCTGTTTGCTCCACTAACTCGTTCTGTCAGGTGTAAACTGGAACCGTACGTCTGGTGCGTCTCCACCTGGCATGAATGGGACAGTGTCTCTCATCCATTCCCCACATGTTGTTTGATCAAATGTCCGTCTGTGCTGGGATGTGTGAGGTTATAGATCTAAACTCAATAAATCAGGTTTTTGCTCACATTTCCAACTGATATTTAAAACAGGACACTAGTGGTGAAGCTGAGATTCACAAATGAGAGACAGGTCACCAAGTACAATATAGTTTCTATGTAAAGTTTATTTTAACGGTGTTAGATTTTCACCTTGTATCAGTGATAATTGAGATAATGTCATATACAGACCTAATCTTTGCCAAGACAGTCATAGTGTGACATTTTCATATTGACACACCATTAGAGGTCATGATGTTTTGATTGTAACTGGAAATTTGTAAGACATTATGAGGATTTTCTCAGCAAAAAGCACAGACAGAGAGAAATAAAGATATGGAGCAGAAACACTGACAAAATCACTTCTGTGCATCTGTGACCCTCATCTTCTCGTTAACTTTTTGGTTTTTCAGTGCCCAGCTCGCCTTCATTTATTAACATCAGCACCCACTCTTTTATTCCCTCTTCTTCATCTGCAGTCCAGGACATTGTTTTCCAGCTGCAGCGCTTCGTCTCCGGCATGTCCCGATACTACGACGAGTGCTACAGCGTTCTGAAGGAGGCGGACGTCTTCCCCATCGAGGTGGACCTGTCCCGCACCATGATCAACTACAGCAGCCAGTCGTTCTCCTACACTGAAGAGGGGGGGGAGGAGGAGGAGGAGGAGGAGGGAGGAGGAAGCAGCACAGGCCGACAGGCAGAGAACGGAGCTGAGAAGCTGGTCGATGACGAATGAGAGACAGTGAGAGTGGAGGTGAACACTGTTGTCACTGTGGTGAAACCTACTGGGAGCAGCTGCTGTTTGTTGGTCTATTGGTGAAGTTTTCTTTACTTTAGAATCAACTGCTTTGTGATTATTTTATTGTATCGTTTTACCAAAAACCACTTCACAACTCGTAACAGAGGATGAGTTTATTTTAACCTGAGTGCCGAAGCGTGGGACCTACGTGCGTATGACTTGTGCCTTCTTAGCTCTTAGTTTAATGATTGGTCTGTTTTAATGTGCATATTGTGAATTAATTAAAGCTATTCTTATTTTATTTTCCTGGCCAGAAAACCTGTTGCATTTTGGGCAGTGATTTGTTCGGCTTCCTAAAACGTTCCTTTATGTCACCAATGAACTTTTCTCCTGATCCCAACAAAAAACTGGAACCTAATGGATGAAGACACAAACCTGAAGCAAGATAGTGACTGCAGCTGTGACACACCTCTGTCCGCTGGCTGTTTTCCTTCTTAGTTGTTTAATAAGGGAAAACCTGTATTTACCACAGTGTCCAGCTGTGTGACGCTTTAACACCAAAGTGTTTTTTTTAGCTGAGGTCATTTCAGTCTGTTTTCTCTACTCATCACTGAATGCTCCAAGTTAAAATGTGTTATTTTCTTGTAACTTATAACGCTGGCCCACGTAGCTCACTTCCCTGTTTTCCAGCCTGTTGCTGATCAGGAGCTTCACACAGTTTTCCTTTGCTGCGGAGATGGACTGAAAAATGCAAACACTACATGTAAATAAGTAAACACAAAGAGAAAGGCTGTGGTGTGATTTTCTCGTCATTCCCACTTTATTTATATGTTAATGTATTTGGATGTTTTAATGAGAGACTGATTCTGTACTAAAATGAATGTAATGATTCTTGTGTGTCCCATCATTTTGTGGATTTCATGGTTTTCTACCGGGATTTGCTTGATGCCGCCACTAGGGGGCAGCATCACATCAGATCACACTTGTGCAGTCAGTGAGTGCACTACAGGTCCTGTGTTAAATTTAAAAAAGTTTTTTTGTTTGTTTTGGAATAACTGCGATGTAGAAGAGGGACCTACTGGGTGTGCTGTTATTTTTCACGTACACACGCTGGTTCATAAACAACTGCAGCATATTAGCTGAAATTAGTCGAGTTAATTGGAAGTGTGTTAACTATATGAACCTTCCAGTGACCTAAGTAGCGGTTATTTTGTACTATTAATTTAAAAAAAACCAATGTGTGGCCTACGAGGGACATTTTTTAATTACATTTTTTAAGTTTACCTTAATGTTACACGAACAATTTGACCCTTTTTAATAAGATTTTACATTGTTTTGTTAAATATCCTGCCTGATAACTTAATTAAAGTTAAATTATATGAAAATAAAGCCATGCTAGACGTTGTCATATAATGTTTTCACTTGTATAGCTTCAAAATGTCACGTGATAAGGCTTCTCGTCTGTAAGGCCCCAGTGGCCTAATGGATAAGGCACTGGCCTCCTAAGCCAGGGATTGTGGGTTCGAGTCCCATCTGGGGTGGCTGTGTTTTGCTTCCATTGGACCCTAACGTGTGCTGAAATTATTTTACGTTACGCCTGGCTACATGTTGTAGCAGTACCGCCCTGTTTGCTCCCAAAGGCCGCATGTGCCACCGCACATTGTTCCCTTTCCACCGGTGCGCAGCCAATCAGGAAGCGCTCCTGTAGCCTCGGGCTTTCCCTTCGCCACATAACAACTGGTTTCCTCTTCGCCTGAGTCACTTCTGACAGATCCGTGTCTCTGTTCTGCACTAGTTTTAGCTTTTAACTGTTTTTACACAGCCATGCTTTTAGTAAAGAGGCTGTATGTCTTACTTTGGTTCAGTGTGGTTGCCACCTTCGCCTCAGCAGACAGTAAGTAGGTCGATTATATGTGGAGTTAACCGCAATTTTATGGATCTAGTGGCCCTTATTTACCAGGATTTAGCAAGCGGTGATTGGTTGTGAGCGTGCATACTGTTTTATATAAATATGTGCTTACTCTCTATCAGTTGTTGTGATTTATGATGTGCTGAAGAGTTTGAGTCGGATTTGTTGTTCATGGGGTAATCCCCAAACTCCCGATGGCTCCTCTCACAGAAATGTTTTCACTTTCGTTTATATCCGTGAATCTAATATAAGACGATTAAGAAACATCAATAAAAGAAAGAAGAGCTATGAGATGAGATTTCACCTCCTCCTGTCTTGTGACCATCATCTGTCAGTCAGCCAGTAAAAACATTGAAACCACAGTGTTTGGTGGACCTGCACCAGTACTCTCAGTACGGCTGGTATGTGCCAGGATCAGCTTAAAAAGCACTTACTGTGTTAGTCTGTTAGATTTACTGCACAGAGGGGGTCCAGTTGTTTTTCTGGGAGTCAGTGCCATAACTAACTTCACTGTCCTTTACAACAGGCAGTCTGCCTGACTGTTGTGTAGCAGTTCATTTAAAGCCATTTAGTTTTGTTTCTGTGGTGGGTTCCTCCCAGACATGACAGCAGCCACGGTTTACTGGGACGCCCAGCAGAAGGTCGTCCAGCTGAAGGAGGGGGTTCTGGAGGTGGAGGGCGATGCATACGGGTATCTGAATGACACCCTGTCCAGTACAGGCTGGAGCGTGCTTGAGATCCGAGCCGGCTACGGAAAGACCCCCGAGACTGACGAGATGACCTTCTTCCTGGCCGGCTACCTGGAGGGCTTCCTCACTGCCCGGTAAGTTCATTTCACAAGACGTTTTGTGTCTGTCCAGTCACGTCCCTCAAACATCGGTAATCAAACTGGTTGGTCAGTATGTTGAATGTAACACATGTTATCTGTGTATTTGTACTGTTTAACCTTGTGTTTCACTATTCTCCCAGACAGTTCACGTGCCTTCCAGACCCCCCACACAGATTCAGTCCCTGCATATACACACACAGTCTCTTCTGCCACATGTAGCCTGTTGCGTACACAGCCCAACTGGGCCCAGCCGCCTAACTTTGGAAAGCTACCTATGATGGCCACATAGCTAAGACACATTTGCGATTGGTTCCAGCGAGCGGGGTGATGGCCGATCAGTGTTGCACACAACCTGACTGTTACTTCTCTCCTTTGTCACTCGCTGACTCTTTGCACTGAGTGTGTGACCTCTTGATCAAGATACTGGTATTGCTCTTGTACTATTGTCTGATTTGCTTAACAAACCCCACAAACGATCACTTGAAAGCCTCTTTATTGATTTCCACAACACTGAACAGTGACCACTGTAGTCCATAGACGAGTCAGATGATGACCTGCTGTCACATGAGAAAGATAAGAAAAGCTTCAATCATCTGTAACAACTAAGTAAAGACTGACAGTACAGTTTCATAAGGCTGTGAAAACCATCCGACTAATCAAATCCTAATCCATATACTGTGTTTTTGTTGTTCTGAATCCATTCATGCAGCTTTCACACTAACTCTCCCCCCAGGCAGATTATGGACCACTACACCAACATGTATCCACAGCTCATCTCCAGTCCAAAGATCCTCGACCTGGTTCAGAGTTTCATGGCGTGAGTCTCTTCTCTTTTTCTTGTAAAAACTAAAACCACCACCGCAGCAGCAGCAGCAGTGCAGTCACACACAGTTCAGCCAGAGTCAATAACTTTCACATCACCTTCTCAGATGTTTAGCTCAGGCTACACCCAGCACGTCTCCCCGATCATGCCACTTGTGTCTGTGATGGTGTTTGGCTGCTCTTGATCAGACCACAGCTTGGTTTAGTTCAGTCATGACGATGGTCGTACTGTAAAATTCAGCAGAAAGAGGACATCTTAATCTGTTTGTGATGGATCGATTACTTTGGATTTAAAGCTTTTAAGTCAGTCGTATTTCACGTATGATTCCTCAGTCAGTTTATTAACTGTATCTGCTGAGCTTTTCATTATGAGCTCACTGTTTTGGCTGTTTTACAGTAAATCACTATACTGATTAATGAGTACAGTAACCAGTGACTCACTGTTTGTAGGAAGCAGGATTCATGGGTCAGAGAGCAGGTGAAACTGAACAAGAGCTCGGATCCTCTGTGGAGACACGCAGGCTTCATCATGGCCCAGATGGACGGACTGCAGGCTGGAGTGGCCGACTGGGCCAAGCGACAGGGGAGCAAGGTACGACTTCCTTAGATCAGCATTTTTACCTGTGTTTAAAATACAGGCTGATGGAGTGACTGTTGTCTGGTACATGCAAAGAAGGTGCTTGTGCACAAATGTCCCACAAGAACAATAAGAAGAAGTTCATTAAACTGTGGGGAAATAAAAAATAAATAACTGCTAAATTTGATTTCAGACATGTACATAGATAAAACAGATGTGCCTCCACCGAGTTCTGATTTGAAATGAGGAACCTCCAAACCTGTGAGCATGCATCACTTTTGCAGATATGAAAGCAGATGCTGCATATTTTTAAAGGTTTGTTTATGATCCAGTTTAATCTGGCACAGCTTCACCCACTGTCAAGGTGCACAACAAGGGAAACGCAAACTGGAAAACAAAAAGTCCAGCAACACCTGCAGTGTTTAGAGCAACTTTAATGTAAAGACCAAAGGCCAATGTGTTTCAGCACAGAGCCGTCGTCAGAGTGCTATAGAGGAGTCATCTGGTTTCATCTGGTGCCAGTTTTATTATATTATTCTAAGTAAAATTTCCAATATTAGCTACAGACTGTCAGTGGTGTATGCTCTGTGAGTAGTAGGCCCTATATTTATCAGATTTATTTGCTTTTAGCACCAGTTTAATGTCAGATAGAGACTGTTGTAGGGACACAAAGTCAAACTGCAGCTTGAATTGTGCACACTTGGTATGAAAAGTGTGAAATTAGTTCATGGTTTCATTCATTTGGAATCATTTTTCTTCCTCAGTTCATGAGTTTATCAGTTTTGCAGAAGACTTATTTTTGGATGGTGTCTGTCTCACTCTTCACTTTCATGTTCAGACTAACAGCTGTTTATCTGGTGTCCTTCCCGTAGCCGCTGCCCCTGTTTGCCATCCAGTTCCTGAGCGCAGTGGGAGACCTGCTGGATCTGATCCCAGCCTTGGTCCCCGACTCCAGCCGCCTGCTCCGAAACTTCAGCCTCCCTGGGATGGGACACTGCTCTGCGCTCATTAAGGTCAGAGGTCAAACTGTGCCCTGGTCAGAGTGTAAGGCCTTCACATAAGGAGTGCACACAGCAGCACTAAAGAAAAGATATGCAGCTGTAATCAGGTGATTTACATTTGTGCTAAGATAGACCTTTTGGTTTTTTTTTCCTTTTAAAGCTTCTTTGCATATGGAGAATGTCATCTAGGAAAGTGCACATCTCTCCTCTGTGACCATTTTAACACCCACACCAGAATGAGAACTGTTACTTTCATTCACCGTGTAAAGTTCTCCCACACACTTGACTTGTTACCGTAAATATGTCTTTATTTGGGGAAACAGGCCTTAGTGTTGTGGAAAAACTTGTGAGAGAGAAGGGTTCAGCTTAATCAGATCTTTTTATTACATGCAAAGAGACCAGTGAATTGCAGTGCCATCAAAAAGCATCATTCCATTTCCTGTATACCTTCATAGCACACCCTAATGACTAGCGTCTTCACCATACACGGTGTGGCTGTTTGGAAACTTCTGTGCTGCTCTTCAGATGCTTCCTGGCTTCGAGAACCTCCTCTTTGCACACTCCAGCTGGTACACGTATGCCGCCACGATGCGGGTCTACAAATACTGGGATTTCCGTGTCATGGAGCCCCACGCTGCCACTGGGAAACTGTCCTTCAGCAGCTACCCTGGTAAGTCGGCCCCAGAGATCTGAGGTTACAAGACAGCGGTGAAGGTTTATCTTTTCGCAGCTACTGTCACTCCACGTAACCAGTAAAGTCCAGAGCACAGAAGAACCTTATGGCAAGTTGCTTCCTGACTTTTTGTCAGAAGTGATGATATCAGTGGAGTTACTGAGCCACTGCTCCTTCTCTGGGCTCCTACAGGTTTCCTGGTGTCGCTGGATGACTTCTACCTGTTGGGCAGTGGTTTGATGATGACCCAGACGACCAACAATGTCTTCAACTTCTCCCTCTTTGACCAGATCACGCCCAGCAGCCTGCTGGCGTGGCAGAGGGTCCGGCTGGCTCACAGTCTGGCACGCACCGGGGAGGACTGGGCCAAAACCTTCTCTAAGTACAACTCTGGTGAGAGCAGCTGCATTTGTATAGCACCTGGCCCGGTTCCAGCTTATTCTGTATGATAGGAGTAAATACTGGGGTTGTACCAGTACCACTCTCTTCAGTACAAGTACTTGGCCATATTGAGTACAGACACTATAATAATGCAGTGTTTCTGCTGTGTTACTTTTTCACCACCTCTCCTCTACCCTCCATCACCACCCTCCACTGTTGTAGGGACCTACAACAACCAGTACATGGTGCTGGACAGGAGCAAAGTGAAGCTGGGCCACAGCGTGGACGACGGCGCTCTGACTGTGGTGGAGCAGATCCCCGGCCTGGTGGAGTACTCCGACCAGACACAGGCTCTGCGCAGAGGTAACAACACATCTTTTGTTGTGTTTCCTATTATGTTTGCAGATTTGATCTCTTGTTATGCGTCTGCTTACCACAGGCTACTGGCCGTCCTACAACGTCCCCTTTCACCAGAATATCTACACACTGAGCGGTTATAAAGAAATGTGGAAGGAGTTTGGAAACGACTTCTCCTATGATCTGTGTCCCAGAGCCAAGATCTTCCGCCGTGACCAGGGTGGCGTCAAGGACCTGGACTCCTTGAAGCACATCATGAGGTTCAATGGTGTGTGGCTGCGTCTCACTTTGGTAGTTTATACGACTCGCTGGCTCCCGGTATCAGCTGGAATCTGCATTTCTTATGTTTCCATAAGTTTGATTTCTCAGCTTTGTTCCCCAACTGTGAAAGCAGCTCTGATGTCACACTGATCAAACAGCTAAAAGCACAGTAATACCTTTAACACATTGACCCCGTTGTGGTTTGAGAGCACCGCCCACTAGTTGTGCAGCTCCCATCGGATAGTCTTGAATCTTTGCTTCAGTCAAATAAATCTGAGCCCACATTGTAAATAAAGTTGCACTTGTTAAGTCTGTCACCATCATTTTCCAGAAGCCATTTACAGTTACATGTTCTGTGCTTGTTTTCAGACTACAAGAAGGATCCATATTCCAAAGGCGACCCGTGCAAGTCCATTTGCTGCCGTGATGACCTGAAGCCAACGAGTCCGCTGCCAGCAGGCTGCTACGACACCAAGGTAGTTCCTTGTTACTACATAGTCGTCTTGTTTCAACAGAGGTCACAGAGATGCTCAGATTTTCCCACGTTCCTGTCTCGGTCTTCATCCAGGTGACAGATTTCCAAATGGCTGGGGACTTCTGCGCCGAGGCAATAAACGGGCCGACCACTCAGGATGGACTCTGGCCATTTGAATGGAATAAATTCAGCAACATCAGCCACCAAGGTCTGCCACAGGTCTACAACTTTACCTTCGTCAAGATGAAGCCTCTTCTCTTCAAGCCGTGAGGTTTGTGCCTGAGAGGGAGAGAGTCTCCGTGTTCGATGATTTCAGATAAATATGTCCAGAGGTAAAGGCACAGTCCTCTGTTTCTGTCTGTACGTCCATGTACACAGTGATCATTTTACCTCTTACTGTCAGGTCAGATTTGCGACCCAGCTTTGCTCAGGGTCTGAGGAATGATTGGGATTTTGAGTCGGTAGAGTTTTATACCCGCAGCCATTTGTGCCGTGAACATTGAGAGTAGCTGTGATGTTTGTTTTTTTTTTATAAGATGCAGAATCAATGCACTAAAACAATGCCTGTGCCATCTTTAATGTTTTAAAGATTTTTTTTTTAATGCTTGAATGTCAGTGTTATGCTCAGGGAGGTTGATTGTTTCTGGTGAGGAGATCTAGCTGCATCAGTTTTCATCTGTCTCAGGTTTATATTTTTGTAGAAGCCTGTGTTTCTGCCTAATGCTGCACAATCATGCAATCACTTTATGTAACTGTTTATTAAAGTTTATTCATTTCTTTTTAACGTTTGTGCTGTGTTTAATCTGGTCTTGAGCAGCGGTGACTCAACCACTGAGGACTGGGAAACTTCACCAGCTGAACTGGGTCCAGTGTGGGAGAGATCCGACTCGCTCACATGACCCAGATTGTAGCTTTGCATTCAACCAATAATTAGAGTTCTTTCCCACTATAAAATGTCTTCACTTACTTCCCTGTGGAGCTTTTCATAAAGCTGCTGCTGCCAATACCATCTGGAGAAGGTCTTGTCAGAACGTGTTAGATAACACAGCTGCCTTTTGGTGTGCGTGTGGCGTAGTAGGAGGCAGAGAGTGTAGGAGAAAGAGTCTGATGTCTGTAGGCTCATTATTTGAATTAAAGGCAAACGGGAACTAAATCAAATATTTATACACCCAGTATAAACTGTTGTATGAACAAACCCGGAACTAGTTGACTACATTATGCCAGAACACACAGTCCTCCGCTGAGTTCAAGCACGTTATTGCCAGCAGCCGTAAAACCCAGGAACCTCTGGCACTGCGCCACCGACAGTGACCCGCGTGAAACTCATCCACTGATGCACTGCGCTCCTCCTCTGCATCGGACACACTCACCATGACCCAGATACTGCAGCGAAATTAAATGGACCAGCACCGATTACGCGTGACGCCCGGTTCTTTGATGGAGCGCATGTCAGCCAGTTGCCCAAAGTACACCCGGATGCCCCCTTGACGCAGACGCTCAAAAGCAGCATCCATGCACGTTGTGAACATGCAAGGTGACAACAACAGGCCGAAGGGTCGGACGCTGTACCTCCATGCCTGTGTAACCGGGATATAATAATTACACAAAATGTAACCGGGATGTAATCATTACACAAAACGTTTTGGTTCATGTGCAAGTTAATTCACATGCCTGGTCAGGGAAACCTCCACTCCACTAGGGCTCACAGCTGAGCCATGCTTTTCTTTGTTGGTAGCCGGGTATAAAGAGGGGTCGAGCACCTCTTCCGCTCTCTTTCCTGCATGGAGTCGAGTGGAAAGAGGTGAGTGCTCCATCCATTTGTGACTACTTTACTTTTATGGGTAAACTTGTTGTGTGCTTTTGTTTAGGAGCGAGCTGAGCATTCACTGGAGGCAATCTGTTGTATGTTTTTTTCCTCTGTGACCAGGTATGTCCAAGTTATGTATAATAGTTTGTATATTATCACCCTGCGCATCTCTTCCACGCTCTTTCCTGCACGGTGTCGAGTGGAAAGAGGAGCGAGCTGAGCATTCACTGGAGGCCATCTGTTCTATGTTTTTTTCCTCTGTGACCAGCAATAAAGGGCCCCGTTGAATAGCAAATGTGTCGGTCCATGTGTCCCAAGCAAACACAACGCAGCACGGCCGGTTACCAGAGGGACTGGCGAGGACTAAGAGGACAGCATAGAGACTCAAAGGCGACCGGTTACACCTGCCCCTGAAAACCGAACCCAAGGAACCACCTGGACTAATGCGACGCAGAACAGGCAACGTGAAGCATCGCTGGCATGAACCTGCTGCCTCCTTTTTACCTGAAGAATGCGTAAAGAATGCACCTGCATCCAGTGAGGCAGCAGGAAACGGCGTCAGGATGTGGACCACTGTAGGTGCCAGATTCAAGGCGGTGTTAATTTTCAGCCATGCATTCATCGGTCTTATGCTTGTCTGCCTTTGCATGGCCTCCACACATGGACCACAGGCCCTGCTTCACCAACTTCTACTTCCTGCTGCACCTCATATCTATGACTGGAGAACCGAGGACACTGTGGATGCCATGCAGCAGCCAAAGAAGGAAAAGCACAAGTAGGCATCCTGTCATATGCAGACATAAGAGTTTTAGCCGCAGTACTCTGAAATAAAACACAGCAGCCCACTGCAGACAGAAATAGGACGTTTGGATGCTGAAGGTGGGAGCAGGTGTGGTAGTGGAGCTGTGAACGTGCACAGGGTTGAAATAATGAGGGGAAATGCTTTCATAGTGGAGAAACTAACTTTGTATTGTTGAATAATGTGGTCAAAAAGGGCAGAAGACCAACTAAAAAACTTAATACTACCACTAGTTGTGCCCATTGGTTCTGCCCAGTGCTGGGTGTTCAACTAAAATTTAAAGAGGTCCAGTTAGAGGATATTTCTTGAAGCAAAGGTCCAGACGATCATAATGTTTAACTGTTTAGTGTGATATATATTTAAGTAGCCCAGCGGTTGTATCAACATCTGCATGTAATCAATACCTGACTGTCAAATCAAATGAATTCAGGACAATTCAAAAACTTTTTGACAATATTTATTGTCACGTAAGATAGAAATGAACATATATGTATAATGTTCTCTCAGTTACTAAATAAAAGTAGGGCTGCATTTCAAAATAAGAGAAAATAAAATGTGAAAAATGTGCATGTTCAAATAAAGTGCTTAACTTCACAAAAATAAAATGATGAAGGGAGGAACAGCAGTAATTTCCCCTTTTCTGTTTGACATCTATTATTTTCCTTATACAAAGTAAATAAAACCCATGATGTGCAGTAAAAGCTGTATACATGTTGATGTTTGTAGTGTTGCTGAAGTTGAATGTGAGAGAGAGAATGTTACAGCTGCAGCCTGTTCTGACATTCTAAAGTTTATTCTAACAGAGTTTAAGCCCACGGAGATGGAGGAATTCGTTGTCTTGGAGTTTGACCAGACATCTCTGAGAAACACAGCCAGGTCAGTGAGAATGGTTTTGTGTTTGTGACAGTAACGAGAAACTGTTGTCTGTTGTGATCATCTTCTTCAGTTCTTCTGTTCTGATTCATATTGTGATCAACCCGTTGATAGTATTATTATATGTGAAATGAGAAGTCAGCTAATATAACATTATTTTTTGGAACAGTCACATTATTTGGCATCTGTTGGCTTATAGCAAATGGTAAAACACTAATGTGGTTAAATGATGGCCTTAGTGAGTGAAAACATCCGGTGGGGGTGGCGGGGAGACATGGGGGCATTCACCCTAAAAAGATCAAGAACCACCGCTTTAATAGAAACAAAGGAGCTTGAAGGTCGGGACCTTGTCGTTTGTGTTTGTGGAACAGAAACAGTAACTTCTCTCACAGTCTTGCTCTCTGCGCCCCCAGGGACACATGCAGTGACTCAC